CCAGGGAGAACGGGAGGAAAAGGCAAGAAAAGCAGAATTAAGGATTTTTTTTTTTCTCCTCTGAGGCAAAGGAATAAATAAAATTTAAAAATTCCAGCTGGGAGAAATGAAACCYGATGGAGCAGCCGTGGAATTGAGAGAAAATTGCCTGGGGTGAGACCTGAGGGGACAAACGGGGGAAAATCCCAAATTTTGGACATTCCAGAGGGATGGAGAGAGTGGGAAGGGATGGGAGCCACTCCTGAGCCACGTTTACCAACTCCGAGCTCCATTTTCCCTGCTTTTCTCCCCAAAATCTCACTCACATCCTCTGGGAATCATTCCCTGTGGAGAATCCTATTCCAAACCCCTTTTCCCCTTTTTTTCTCCCCAAAATCTCCTTCAAATGGTCTGGGAATTGTTCCCAGATGGAGAATCCCACTCCAAATCTTGTTTTCCCTGTTTTTCTCCCCAAAATCTCCCTCAAGTCATTCCCAGGTGGAGAATCCCACTCCAAACCCCATTTTCCCTGTTTTTCTCCCCAAAACCTCCCTCGTGTTCTCCAGGAATCCCTCCCAGGTGGAAAATCCCAATCCCAATTTTCATTATTGATCCCAAAAAGGAGCTCCACCATCCCAAATTTTACCCCTCCACGTTCATCCCAAAATTCCCTTTCTTTTTCCTTTGTTTTTTATTGACAAAACCACAACTTCCTCCTCTCTTTTCCTCCCATTTTTCTACTTTTTTTGTGGGTTTTTTTGGTGTTTTTTCCCCCCTTTTTTCGTGCTATCCACAAAACTTCACAAAGCAGCTCTTATGGGATCCTGGATCCCTCCAGCCCAAACCATTTCTGGGGTTTTTCACCCCAAATCCCCCCAAGTGAAAACACGGGGGGCGTTTTGTTCAATGACCCCCCCAAAAAAACCCAAAAACCCAAACCCCACGCCGATCCCAAAGGAAAACCAGACATTTTTTAGGGTTTTTTTTTGTTGTTTTCTTGTATTTCCAAACCAGGGAATGTCCAGCGAGGGAGGTGACAC